AGATGGATGAGAGAGAGAGAGAGAGAGGTAGAGAGGAGAGAGGAGAAGAGATGGATAAGAGAGAGGATAAGAGAGAATAGAGGAGAGGAGAGAGAGAGAGGAGAGAGAGAGAGGCATAGAGAGAGAGAGGGGATGCTGATGAAGAGAGGAGATGCAGAGAGAGAGTTGCTTGGAGCGAGGATGAGAGAGCGAGAGAAAGAGAAAGAGGAGCTCGCGAGAGAGAAGAGAGAAGAGAGAGAGGAGAGAGAGAGAGAGAGACTGAGAGAGAGAGAGATAAGAGGCGTGTGCTATTGAACATTTACGACAGGTTGTGAGTGACTATGAACAATTACGAAGGGTTTCGTGACCCCCTGCTGCTTGTTAGCTCACGGTAGATTACATCAACTGCTGTTAGAGAGAATCAGATATATAATAATCGCAATGCTGGTGAACATGGTATACACTCATCGCCAATGTGACAGCGAGCCAGACTGGGAGGAACAAACATGATGTGTATTCATAGTGACAGCTATCCGTGCACAACCCCTATTACAATTATGACAGCCATTGCTAATCAATGATTACTCGCTCACAGCAACAGCATACCTGTTTACACCTATGGAGTATTATGTTAGAGGGTGTCTTTTCAACCTGTTTACACCTATGGAGTATTATGTTAGAGGGTGTCTTTTCAACCTGTTTACACCTATATGGAGTATTATGTTAGAGGGTGTCTTTTCAACCTGTTTACACCTATGGAGTATTATGTTACAGGGTGTCTTTTCAACCTGTTTACACCTAGATGGAGTATTATGTTACAGGGTATCTTTTCAACCTGTTTACACCTATATGGAGTATGATGTTACAGGGTATCTTTACATTGCACTAGCACCAGGCAGGACGCGTGGAAGTCGAAATGTTATGAGACTTATGACCTTTATCATTAAGCTATATATAATATAGGTGAGCTGTTTCTTACATCGCAGCAGCAACAGCAACAGCAGCAGCAGCAGCAGCAGCAGCAGCAGCAGTAGCAGCAGCAGCAGCAGCAGCAGCAACAGCAGCAACAGCAACAGCAGCAGCAGGTAGCAGCAGCAGCAGCAGCAGCAGCACTTCCATGCAGAGTAGCAATATGCACGCAGCTTCACAACTGCACACACGATTTACAATCACTTGCACACGACAATAGCAAATTAAACGTTAACGCGCCTCGCGACTCGTACACGGCGCTACGATCAAACGATATTGTTAATGACAGCATCCAACGAAACCAACGTGTTAGCTGAGCATTCTCGATAAATCTGCTTTGTTGCATACCGAGCTCGTCCATACAACCGATAGAGAGCGGCCCGCAAAACGCAACCATTTTATGCGGGATTATCCAGTTCATGTCTCCGTTCTCGATTTGCTGAAAACAGTGTAAAAACGCATCCAAGTTTGAGAAGAGAGTACAACTAAAGTTTAAATGCTATAGGAAAAAGGACAGAGAGAGAAAGAGAGAGAGAGGGGGAGAGAAGGAGAGAGAGAAAGGAGAAAGGGTAAGCAAAGAAAAGAAAACAAAAGTAAGCACCGTGTATGTTGGTATCGCCACACATCTCCCCACAAGCCGGAAGGTACATGCATGCAGGCGTGCGTACCACTCAGCGAGAGATTTTAGGTTCCCTGCCTCTCACGGGCGAGAGTGATTGTGATTGATATTGTATGTTCTCACGACGCGCGCTCTCACTCTAAGTGAAGCCTTATAATGGAATGCTGCATCGGTCGGGTTGGCAGGGGAGGCAATCTGGGTCATACTCCCCTGGATTTCCAGTCAGTGCACCGATGTCTACCACGCACGCTCGCTTGCGTTCTGTCACTATGCGCTTACACTGAACTTTTGACGGATCTTATAGGCCTACCCCAAATTTGGGGTATGTACCTTCCAGATGTGGTGAAGGACTGAAGGGTAACGCAACCCATACAGGGTGTGTGCGTGTGTGTGTGTGCATGTGTGCATGCGTGCGTGCGTGTGCGTGTGTGTGAGTTACAGTGTGTGTGAAAGAGAGATAGATAGAGGGAAAGACTGCAAGAGAGAGAGAGAGAGAGAGAGAGAGAGAGAGAGAGAGGAAGAGGAAGCCAAGGATCAAACATGAGATCTGTGCCTCCCTAATACTGTACCATATTCCATTCTAGTTTGGCTGTGAGGACCACAGAAGGCAAGGAATTTGCCTGGCAGAATCCAGTTAAGGTCTCCATTTTCTACTCTCTGGAAGCAGACAGTTGCATGCAACATTGCAAGGGGGTTACCTCAAGGCTCAAACACAGAGCAGTATTGTTACTGTCTGGTGAACATTATTTCGCACTTACACATGGATTCGCCGAACAGCTAAGATAAAGTTCACATGAATAATTGTGGTGAACTAACTCTAACATGACGTAAGAAACGACTTAGTAAGCAAAATAAACCATTTCTGTCAGTGGCAACATGATACTGACTGTTATATTTTAGGAATTTACCATGAATTCCAAACTGATCTATGCACTTCATACATAGATGATTACGACCATTATGATACGATCATTATTGTGAAATGCTAATATTTTTTGAAGAGTATTTAAGAACAATGTCGTATATATGTGTTCAACTCTTACCTCGTAATGTTCATACTCGTCAACGTCAAATGCTTCGAAGTTTAAGAAACCGTTTATCAAACTCTGCAAAAGAAAAAAGTCAGCGATCAATTTTAAATACTATCAGGAGGTGCTGCCACCTCTAGGCACATGTTATCTAGTCTCTTTGCCTGTACTTAGTTTCTGTGTTTGTAACGAAAAGAGAGCGTTGGTAACGTAATTGCTACACCATAACTCAAAATTAGGTCTGAAATTCAAACAAAAATACAGTTAAAGACAACACAGCGCCATATTAAAAAGCACTAACCAATATTATAATAAGAACCAAGTTAATTGTGGGTAGAGCGTGGGAAAACTTATTAAATTGCTACAAAATTGCCTCCCAATTGCTTGCGTAAACTGATTACACCATGTAATGGTGTACATGATTACACCAATGAGCGTAATTGTGTGTGCGCGAGCGTGTGCACATATTTGTACATCAGGAGTGTATAAAAACAAACGTCCGATAATGTAAACGTCGAAAACGTTTGATTTTGGCAACGGGGTAACCACGGCCTATATACGCCTAGGTTTACTGCGCATACACGTATTTATATTTCTTGACATATAAAAAATATAGGTCGAGTTTAGTAGGAAACCCTACCAATTACAGAAATTGGATATTAGTGGGACGTTCTGTCGTCTGAGTTTCCCTAACAATGAGAACAGGTCAGCATCTCATTTCTAGGAAAAACTTTCATTGCAACGCAATACACACGCGGTCTCTTTGCGAAGTGTTCACTAAATATGTGTGCCGAATAAACTCTGTTATAGACAGCAGAGTCTGTACGACTGTAAGATGCGCCACAGTAACTATAAACGAGACAGCATCGAGGCATTTATTACAAGCAAAATCATCATCCCTGCGATGCTCACTATGTAACCCTAGCTCCTGTATTTTAACAAACAATTCACCGAAATCATTGGCCTCTCTTCTTTCCTCTCGTGTCGCCCGGACAACTTTCGAAGAAGCGAGAATATTCAGAACCCCTCAAAGACAATTTAACAGAAAGCCGAATATATAGCTTATATATAATTATTGTGAACTCCCTTTGTGCGCGTAGTGTTATACCTGACAAATAGGGTCATACAGAGTATGTGTAAGTAGTAGGTGTGCGTGAAACATGCCCTAACACAAACGTGTGAATACCACACTGTGTAACGCACACGCGTGCACTCGTATAGGTAGCAAGTTAAGCACAAACAGATCCCCTCCACGCCGCCGCCGCCGCCGCCGCCGCCGGCAGCAGTTATATATCGCTCACAGTTGAACCAAGTTGTTTCGCTTTCGAGCGGAAATACTATCCTGGAGCAGTATATTACCGTTAGACGCTCGAGCACTTGTCGGTTTTGGAAACGCCCTGGAGCTCACACGTTGATATACGTGCACGTCGACAGCAATATAGACTCATCACACCACGATGCTATCAGGAGTAAGATAATATAGGATATATATATATATATAAGATCCTATATTATCTTACTCCTGATGCTATCTCTACGACATACCTGAGGCCTAGTTCTAGAACTATAGCCCTTCGCTCTGCTACAGGCGAGAGCAGGCCTGTGGCAGAGCGAAGGGCTATAGTATAGTTATAGAGCTACCTGATACAGTGCTTAGCATATGGCGTGCCTAGACATTTTTTATTCGTCTTGCTATTTGGTGAGCATATATTGCTTTGGTTTCAGTGTAAAGGCTTCGCCGAGCAATTCCGTATAGTCGTGGGGGTTGTTAGCCTTATCCTAACACATGCACACACTTAAACCTACACGTGTGCAGAGACCGGATCATAGACACTAACCATCCGTGCCTATACCCCCACACGCGCACATAAATGCACGCGCACAACGTACACACGCACGAAAAGCCACAGACCTCTCTCTCCTATACAAGCAAGCCGCCAGTGCTCTCAATTACTTACCCTCCCCTTCTCTCTCTCTCTCTCTCTCTCTCTCTCTCTCTCTCT